CTTCATTTTACAGAATAGATTATCGTCCACAGGCCATCGAGGAGGGGACCACACACCAGGGGCCCATGCATGGCTGATCTGAAAGCTGCCTTTTACCTGCTTTGTTTTCATTTGAACTTTTTTTTGTTTTGTTTTTTGCTCAAATTTGCATCTGAGTGAATCTAGAGAAATAAGCAAGTTGCATTTGCCAACTTATTGTGGCTGACAGTCTCCTTTCCCTCCTTTAGGCATTTAGAAAATGTTTATTGTTGTCAGTAGATAAGTGATTCCAAAACAAATCTAGATCAAGCTCTGCCCCCACACTTAACTCCTTCCTTCCCAAACATACCTGTGTAGTGATTTGCTCAAGTAAACGAAATCAGATCAGATATCCAGTCCTTCAAAGAAAATGGCTTCAGTGAAGTCAAGTCCCAAAACTTGCCCTCGTTTTCACCCCTTGAGCCCATCCTTATCAGGAACTTCTTGTCACCAATAAGATTAGTGGGGGTTAGTGCAGGGGACTAAATCAGATTTTTCCTGTTGGTTCATCATGACAATGTCATGAGACAAATAACTCGTGTGATGGAAAGCGCTGAGGCGGCCCATCCACCACGCATCTGTGGATCAATAGACCACGTCAGAAATGTCCTGACTTAAAAGCCTAAGACTTTGACAAGGATTGTCTCATGATGCTAAATCTGCGTAAGTAATGAATATGGAATGGCGTGACATCTAGTAACTGATTTTTAAGATTCTCATTGTTTTTTAAATAAGTATTATTTATTTTTAATTACTACATATTCCTTGTAGAGAATTTTAAACCTATAGAGAATAACAAAATATTTAAAACATCGATAACTCACCGCCCAAGATAATTGCCCTTAATAGTCTTGTATAAGTCCTTCTCAGTTGTGGGTATGTGTGTTTGTATGTATGCATTGAACAAAAAAGGAAAAGTGAGGTCAGACTGTAAATAGAATTTTATGTGTCTCACTTTTCAAATAATATATTCTGAGCTTTTAATAATGGTATAATATTGCACCATAATTTATTTCACAAAGTTCCTATTATTGGACTTTTAGAATGGCTTTGGTTTCATTTTTAAAAATGCCATCATCATAAAGTTTCTTTTACAAAAGGTTGTATCTGTGTCCTTATGTCAGATTATATCCTTTTTAGAAGAAAAAAGAATATAAAATTTCTTAAATCTCTTATTTGGTATTGTCGAGTTGCTGGCAAGGTAGCCTCAATGTTAACACTCCCACCAACCAAACATGATTATTTGCTTGTAACATCAAATTAAATTAATAACCCACTCATTTATTTAATATAAATTTTATGCTTTATTTATTCAAGAAAGTAATACTGAATCTTCCATGATCATCTTCAGAATAATAAAATAAAATAAATTACAAACACAGTTTGGATAGCTGGAAGGTCACGGGTTCTTATGAGTTTATGTAGACCTATTTAATAAGCTAACTTGACTTCAGAGCTTCATAGCAGGCCTCCGTGGCAGAAATCATTTACTTGTACACCATGTCTTAAACTTTTTTCTTTTACAAGAATAAAAATGGCATGAGGGTGGTTCTTTTTTTTTTTTTTTTTTTTAATTTACTGATGTATATGAAAGGGAGAGCGACAGAAAGAGAGAGATCTGCCATCCACGGTTCACTCTCCAAACGCCTGCAACAGCCAGGACTACGCCAGACTGAAGTCAGGAGCTAAAGCTCCATCCGGGTCTCCCATGTGGGTGGCAGGAACCCAAGTACTTGGGCGTCACCCACTGCCTCTCAAGTGCATTAGCAGGAACCTAGACCAGAAGTGCTGAGTACCCAGGACTCCAGTATGGGATGCAAGCAGCCCAAACGGCTTCACATTGCTGCCCGCAACCCCTACTCCAGGTAGTTCAAATTTTAAGCTTGTCCAAATCATGTTTTGTAAACAGTTTACAGCAACTCTGTAACATATCAAGAGTTTCAGCAACAATTCCGAAAGTGGCTTTGCAAACTCTTCTTGGTCGAGGTAACAGAACGTGAAATTTGATGCCGTGATCACAGACACATGCAAGTTGGTAAAAGCTTCGTCAGCCTTCCTGTTCACAGGTCTCAGCTACAGCCTGCTACAATGTCGTTTTTTAATTTTCATTTTATTTGAAAGGCAGAGAGAAGGGGAAAGAGATAGAAATCTTCCATGCACTGGTTTGCTACCCTAAATGCCCACAATGGCCAGGGCTGGGCCCGGTGGGAGCCAGGATCCCAGAACTCCATCTGAGTCCCCCACATGGGTGTCAGGGCCGTCATCTGCTGTTTCCCAGGAAACTGGACTGGAAGTGGAGGACTGGGGACTTGAACCAGGCACTCCAGTGTGGGATGCTGGCATCCCAAGTGAATCTTAACTGCTGTACCAGGTGCCCGACCCGGCTCACCAGCTTCTGGAAACGAGAGTACAGAAATCACAATTCTAAAGTTACGTACTTTTCTGTTTTGAAATGCACACGGCACTTGAGAAATTCATGGAAACAGCATCAGTGCCACACGCACGCCGGCACACGCGCATCCTCTGGCACACAGCCCGTTCTTAGCAGAGTGGCTGAATGCGCAAGGTCACTATCAAAGGCAGGTAAGTGGAAAAGACCATTCCGTGTGGTGGTTTGACTGGCTTGTCCCTCGGGGCTGGGTGGCAGGGTGCAGGCTGTGCAGCCTACAGGCGTCCCAGGGACCAGCAGGGGCGCAAGGATGACTTGGCAACCTTCCGCTGCCCAGGCCAACGGCAGTCAGCACAGGTCAGGCCGCAGCACTGCCAACGCAGCAGTCCCGCTTTGTCTCAGACTAGCTCGGCAGGGCTGCCCCTGCTCTCCCTGGGGGCCCCTGTCTCTGACGGAGTCCCTGTGGGGACCTTGGGTAGAAAGCCCATCCAGTGCTCCTGGGGAGGCAGGAAGGAGATGGGAGGCAGCAGAGTTAAGCCTGGTGGACTTCCCAAGGGTGGCCCCTGATGTCAAGGAGGAGCAGGCGAAATGGAGTTGAAGTTGAAGCTCTCTGGATTTATCAGCCTGCCCGGGAGAAATGTTATGGGCAAAACACTCAGGACAGAGAGAAATAGATGGGAGGAGGGGGCTGCGCCCAGGGACCTCCAGGTCCGGAGGAGGGGCAGACAGGAAGCTGGAGTGAAGCGGACTCATGGGAGCCCTGGTACGTCCAGACAGCTATGGGAGGAAAAGCCGAGCAGGAAGGAGTGCTGAGGAGAGGGGAGCCAGAGACGTGAGGACGCAGACGGAACCCCACCAAGCGTCAGGGGAGCCGCTGCCCCGCATCCAAGTCAGATGGCCTGGGAGCGTGGGACACGTGCCCCCAAGCCCAGGAAAGGCAGAGCCCGCCAGGGAAGCCACCCTTTCCGGTCCCTAGGCCATCTGTTAGGGACATGCTTCCTGTGGTCGGTTCTTTCTGTTCACTGCCCAGTCGTGCTTAGCAAGATGTCTCAGGTCAAGCGTCCACGCTGAGGTTGACTTATGGCACAGCGCCATTTTGGGTGGTCACAACGGTCGTGGGGTATCTGGGTCCAGACAGGAGGCAGAGAGAGCCTCTCCCTCCATCACACGTGGGTGTGGAGCAGGATCAGCCCCAAGAGGCTAGGAAGGTGGTGGCAGCTATGAAGAGGGTGAGCCGGCTACACCCCCGGGGCAGAGGGCAAGGGCACGGTCACAGGGGAGCTGCCCAGGGAGAACGGGTGGGGCCGTGTCCCCTGGAGGAGGCCCTGGGACCGGCTCACGGGTGGTCTTTGGACCAGGCAGGCCCAGCCAGGCCACGTCTTGGGGCCTGCTCCTTCAGGTCTCAGGGCAGTCATCAGCCTGAAGCTCCAAGGTGCCATTGCCTGTGAGTGGGTTCAGCACCAAGGCCAAGGCTGTAAGTAGGAGATGGGTCTGCGAGGGTGTTAGCATGGAGGTTAACTGTGTCAAGGACCCTTTCCTGGAAGTGTGGCCACCCTTGCCCAGTGTCCTTGGGCAGCCCGACACTGAAGTGAGGCTGCCTGGTCATCTCCAGTGTCCTGCTGGGCACTGCGCAGGTGCCCAGTGTCCTTGCCGCAGAGCCCTCTGAGGCACAGACAGTGTCTGCCCTGGCCGAGGTGCCACCTGCCGAGGCCTCCTGCGACCGGAAGAGCCGAGGGAGAGGAGGGCAGCTTCCTGGGGGCAGTGGCAGTCGGGGCAGCCCTCTTGGCCCCATTCTGCAGGCCACAGGCTCTCCCCCGTGCCAGATGTGAGAAGAAGCTGCCACCTGCAACCCCTTCTCTCCCTCCAGATCTTCGTGATGTCAGGACAGTGACAGTGACAGTGACAGTGGGAGAGACAGAGAACTAAAACCTGCCCCGGGAAACGCTTCCTCACCTGAAGACGCTCCTGGGCCACCCCCAGGGCCCTCCCTCGGGTTTACGCGTGGCTGCGTAAGCGCCTGCTCGTCCACATCCTCCGGCAGGGCCACCTCTGCTGAGTGCCACCAACAGAGCCCAGGGGCGCAGATGCTGGCCCCGGCATCCGCTCTGGGAGTTGAGTGGGCTCTCAATGGCCTGCACCTGGGTTTCCTGAGCTGTCAGATGAGGATCATAACGAGGGTGTCATAGGGTCACAGGGAGGGCGGGTTGAGCACGAAGCTCGGTAAGGAAGCAATCAGCATTAAGTTACATGACTATCACTGCTGTTGTTGACAGGAGACACAAGGGGCTCACGCAACCCACAGTGCCAGGGAACCAGGAACGAGGAAGTCAGTGGGGCCTTTGCCAAGCGTCTCTGCTCCTCCATCACCTCTCTGTCATCTCGGGTCCCTCTGCACACCGAATTTCTCTCCTCCCCCATCCACATGGCGAAACACGTGCGTCTCTCTTTGCCCCTGTCCCCAGGGCTCATGGTGTAGCCCTCCACCTAGGCTGGCCTCCTGTGTGAACTGGGGGAGGTCTCCAAAGAAGACAATGAATTGGGGCCTGTGCCCCAAAAGGTGTCTGCATAGGACAAACAAGTACATTAATGGGACTTATTTTTAACATTTATTTATTTGAAAGGCAGAGTTACAGAGAGAAAGATGGAGAGACAGAGATCTTCCATAAAGCAATAGTCAGGGCAGAGCCAGGCCAAAACCAAGAGCCGGGCGCTTCATCTGGGTCTCCCACATGGGGTTGGAGCCCGAATACTGGGGCCATCGTCTGCTGCTTTTCCCAGGCCATTAGCAGGGAGCCGGATGGGAAGTGGAGCAGCCGGGACATGAACCAGCACTCACAGGGGATGCTGGTGTTGCAGGTGGCAGCTTTATCCACTACACCACAACACTGGCCCCGATGAATAGGATTTCCTCATGAATAGATAGTAGTAGGCTGATGTCCAAAAGATGGTTGAATGTCCTTTCTGGAGAAGCTGCAAAGCAAAAAACTATGGTGGGCTTGAATATCAGTGACTGCGCAATGAACTAGAGGTACTTATCTATGTACTCACGTGATATAAAACAAGTTCATTTCATTTGGACATGACTTTTGAAAATATTGTGCTCCAAATAAAAAGCAAGTTGTGCAATGATGAGGAAAAGAAACAGCCTGAAGCAGGGGGGCCTTGACTATTCATTTAGAATTTTTTGTTACTTTTACTGTACTTAATGTTATCTTAAAAATTAATTAATTAATTTGAAAGGCAGAGTTACAGAGAGAGATGGAAAGACACAAAGAGATCTCCCGTCCAAAAATTGCCTTCCCTCCCAGATGCCGTAGCAGCGGGGGCCGGGCCAGGCCAGAGCCAGGAGCTTCACGCAGGTCCCTAATGTGGAACACATTCTGCTGCCTTTATAGGCATAACAATAGGGAGTGGGTTCTGAAGTGGAGCAGCGGGGACATATGGGATATCGAAGTTGCAGGAGGCAGCGTAACCCACTGCCCCACAACGCCAGCCCCTACCTAATGTTATCTTCTTGTCTCGTTTTAAATGCTGAATGTAGGGACTAGCACTGTGGCGCAGTGGGGTAAAGCCATGTCCTGCAGTCCTGGCATCCCATATGGTTGCTAGTTCGAGTCCTTGCTGCTCCATTTCCAAAATCGTGTTTCCTGCTAATGTGGCTGGGAAAGCAGCGGAGGATGGCCCAAGTCCTTGGGACCCACAGCGGGGACTCGGATGAAGCTCCTGGCTCCTGACGTCAGCCAGGCACAGCCTGGTCACTGTGGCCACGAGAAAACAATGGCTAGCGTGAGGTTTGTGGCCTTCCCTTGTGCACAGGAGAACAGCTGTGCTCTTTCATGGTCAGGTTTTTTTTTTCCAAGGGCTGGCAGGAGACTAGCAAGGAGAAAGGGTAACGGCTTTGGCATTCACTGAAACAAGGGAGCAGGAGTCCTTTGTTTCTGTTTGTTGTCACCAGGAACACACACGGAGCATTGAGAGCTGCACCACAATGCTTTTCTGTGGCCAAGGTCACAAGGGTAACCGGCATCCACTCGTAGGTCCTGCTTAGCAAGGATAGCTTCAGGGCTGGCTCCGTGGTGCAGTGAGTAGACGTCATCTTCCGTGCCAGCATCCCACATGGGCGCCAGTTTGAGTCCCGGCTGCTCCACATCCTATCCTGCTCCCTGCTAATGCTCCTGGGAAAGCAGTGGAAGATGGCCCTGCAAGCCACATGGGAAATCTGGAATATGCTCCTGGCCCAGCCCTGGCCATTGTGGCCATCTGAGGAGTGAGCCAGCAGATGGAAGACCTCTCTCTCTCTCTCTCTCTCTCTCTGTCTCTCTCCCTCTCTGTAATTCTTTCAAATAAATAAATAAATAATCTTTTTTTTTTTTTTGACAGGCAGAGTGGACAGTGAGAGAGAGAGACAGACAGAAAGGTCTTCCTTTGCCGTTGGTTCACCCCCTAATGGCCGCCACGGCCGGCACGCTGTGCTGATCTGAAGCCAGGAGCCAGGTGCCTCTCCTGGTTTCCCCTGCGGGTGCAGGGCCCAAGGACTTGGGCCATCCTCCACTGCACTCCCGGGCCACAGCAGAGAGCTGGACTGGAAAAATAGGAACCGGGACAGAATCCAGCGCCCCGACCGAGACTAGAACCTGGTGTGCTGGCACTGTAGGCGGAGGATTAGCCTATTGAGCTGCGGTGCCGGCCAATAAATAATCTTTTTAAAAAGAAAAAGAAAAGAACAGCTTCAGTTTTTTAAAGATTTATTTATTTATTTGAAAGGCAGAGTTACAGAGAGAGACCTTCCATCTGCTGGCTCACTCCCTAAATGGCCCCTGGGCCAGGCTCAATTCAGGAGCCAGGAGCTTCTATGGGTCTCCCATGTGGGTCCCAAGGACTTGGGCCATCCTCTGCTGCTTCCCCAGGTGCATTAGCAGGGAGCTAGCTCAGAAGTGGAGAAGCAAGGACTTGAACTAGCGACCATATGGGATGCTGGTGCCGTAGGCCACAGCTTAACTCCCTGTGCCAGAGCGCCAGCCCTAATGGCTTCATGTTTAACAATAACAGGATTACAAAGCAAGAATAAACTTTAAGAAGCAGGCATTCAGCCCAGTGGTTAAGACTCTGAGATGCCTGTATCCTATAGTGCAGTGCCTGGGTTCGACACTCACCTCCAGCTTGTAACTCAACTTTCTGCTAGTGTAGACCCTAGGAGGCACCACTGATGGCTCCAGTGGTCGGGTTCCTGCCACCCACAATGGAAACCTGGATTGAGCTCCTGGCTCCCAGCTTTGGCTTGACCTAGTCCCAGCCATTGTGGGCATTTGGGGGAGTAGTTGGTTCCCTCTCTCTCTCTCTCTCTCTCTCTCTCTGCCTATAAAGTAAATAGAGGAAATATGGTAGAAAAACAGCACAAATGAATAATCCAGAAGTGGTGCCTCCATAGAGAAGTAGTATTTGGCCAGCAGCAGGAGTGAGACACCGACACGCTCTCAGCTCGTGTGAACTCAGGCAGACACCCACACACCTATCAAGGGTGCCTGGGTTTGAGTCCTGGCTCCGCTTCCGATTCCAGCCCCCTGCTAATGTGCATGCCAGAGGCAGTGGGTGATGCTTAAGTACTTGGGTCTCTGCCACCCATGCGGGAGACCTGGATTGAGTTCTGGGCTCCCAGCTTCCGTCTGGCCCAGTCCTGGCAGTTGCAGGCATGTAGAGAGGGAACAGCGGATGGAAGAATTGTCTGTCCATCTCTCTATCTACTGAACTACCTTTCAATGTAGTTGTAAAGATTTTAAAACATTACACTAGTGAAAGAACCAGTCACAAAGGCTACATACTGGATGGTTCCACTAATTTGAAGGCTCAGAATAGCAATATCTATGAAAACCAAAAGTGGATTCATGATTGCCTGGAGCTGAGATGGAGGAAGACAAGGCTAATACTAAAAGACACGAAATTCCTGACTCAAGGTGTTGAAATGTTCTGGAATTTTCTGTGAAAATGAACACATTGAACTGTACACTTTAAAAGGGTGAATTAAAAAATATGTGAGTTCTGCCTCAATATAGTTGCTTTTAAAAAAACTGAATGGGAGCTGGCACTGTGGCATAGTGGGTGAAGCCGCCACCTGCAGTGCTGGCATCCCATATGGGCGCCGGTTCTAGTCCCAGCTGCTCCACTTCCGATCCAGCTCTCTGCTATGGCCTGGGAAATCAGTGGAGGATGACCCAAGTCCTTGGGCCCCTGTACCCACATGAAAAACCCATAATAAGCTCCTGGCTCCTGGCTTCGGATCGGTGCAGCTCTGGCCATTGCGGCCATCTGAGGAGTGAACCAGCGGATGGAAGACCTCTCTCTCTCTCTCTCTCTCTCTCTCTCTCTCTCTCTCTCTCTCTCCCCCTCTGCCTCTTCTTCTCTCTGTGTAACTCTGACTTTCAAATAAATAAATAAATCTTAAAAAAAACTGAATGAAAACCAGTAATTGGGGCCAGCGCCATGGCGCACTAGGTTAATCCTCCGCCTGCGGTGCCGGCATCCCACATGGGCGCCAGTTTGAATCCTGGCTGTTCCTCTTCCAGTCCAGCTCTCTGCTATGGCCTGACATAGCAGTAGAAGATGGCCCGGGTGCTTGGGCCCCTGCACCCACATGGGAGACCAGGAAGAAGCTCCTGGTTCCTGGCCTTGGATCGGCGCAGCTCCAGCCATTGTGGCCATTTGGAGAGTGAACCAACGGAAGAAAGACCTTTCTCTCTGTCTCTCTCTCTCACTGTCTGTAACTCTACCTGTCAAATAAATAAATGTCTTAAAAAAAAAGAAAACCAGTAATTACCAAAAAAGCCACCTAAGTAATCCATATTTATGTCATCCCAAATATAGGGAAACTGACCCCAAGCAGAAATACGGATTGACATGGCTGATCTCTTTACAGAGCTGGCTTCTCTTTTATCACCTAATTAACCTTGTATTCACTGTACGGCATCTTGTCCAATACATGGTCCTCTAAAAATGCTGCTGTCTTAGAATATAGGATCAAAAATAAGCTCTTTAATTTTTAAAAAGATTTATTTATTTATTTGAAAGGCACAGTGACAGAGAGGGAGAGAGAGAAAGAGAGAGGGAGAAAGAGAGACAGAGAATCTTCCATCTGCTAAATGGCTACAACAGCCAGTGCTGCACCAGGCTGAAGCCAGGAACCAGAAACTCCAACTGGGTCTCCCACATAGCGGGCAGGGGCCCAAGCACTCGAGTCATCTTCCAGGACTTCCCCGCGTGCATTAGCAGGGAGCTGGGTCAGAAACAGAGCACTTGGGACTTGAATATGCACTCAAGTGCCACAATGCCGGCCTCCAAGCTCTTTTGATTTTTAACCTAAGCAAGTATGTGATTACTTGTTCCATACCTTTTTGTATCAAGTTATTTTCCATTTGACAAATACCAAGTTTTTCACAAATCACGTCCCTGGTAGTGTTAGGCCCTTGGTTTATCAAAATGTGAACAGGGTGGCCGAATTCCAGAAGCATATCTGAGCTTGGAGAATGTGATTTCTTTTTTTCACTAACAGCACTCAAAAATGTCAGTGGATGCAGGTGTTTGGGGAGTGAACCAGCAGATGGAAGATTCTCTCTCTCTCTCTCTCTATTTCTCATTCACTCTCTCTCTTCCCCTTTCAAATGCAGTAAATAAATAAGTAAACTTTCAAAAATGTAATTTTAATTTATTCTTTATTTGAAATATTCCACTTACTCTGTTTCCATATTGTCTTCCTTTCATCATACTTCGTTGTTACTCTATCATCTTTGATAAATATTATCAATCATCAAATTAGGACTAATTGTACAGTTGAAGAAGTTAATCTGACAGTTGAAGGACAGATTTCTTCTTGTGCTAAGGTATGGAAAAGCTTTTCCATTTGTCTCATTTAAGAAGTTAGCTCTCGGGGCCGGGCCCTTTTCATGTTACTGGTCAACCCAACTCCATCAGGGGACATGTAGAATTTCTTAGGAAAAAACAAGACAGATATTAAGAGTTCATGAAATGTGGCGTTTTTTCTTTTCTTTTTTATTTAAAAAAAAATTTTTTTTTTATTTTTTGACAGGCAGAGTGGACAGTGAGAGAGAGAGACAGAGAGAAAGGTCTTCCTTTTGCCGTTGGTTCACCCTCCAATGGCCGCCGCGGCCAGTGCACTGTGGCGGGCGCACTGCGCCAATCCGAAGCCAGGAGCCAGGTACTTATCCTGGTCTCCCGTGGGGTGCAGGGCCCAAGCACTTGGGCCATCCTCCACTGCACTCCCTGGCCACAGCAGAGAGCTGGCCTGGAAGAGGAGGCTTTTAGATAGGATTCTACTCAACATAGCCTAGTCACGTGGGCATTCCTTCAAAGTAGAATCAGGAAGTAGTTTCCCTTACTCGAACATGAGTGTGGCTGGGCGCCAAGTGCTGTAGAGGAAAGACGTAGCCCAGCCACAGGTGAAACAAAAACAAAATTGCTTTTCACGTGCACTCACCTTTTTTTGCCCACTCTCCAGTCAATTCTAAATGCCCAGTTAATATAGTTCTTTCCTTGGTAGACGGTGCTCTTCTGTGTGTGTGTGTGCGTGTGTTTCGCTCTCTCCTGGCAAAACAGTCTTTCTGAATGAGAGAAACAGCGGCACGGGGTAAGTTCTCTAAACGCAACAAGCTAGGGTGGCAGCTACTCTGTTTGGAGCACTAGGATCCGGAAAAAGATGAAGTGAAAGACGTCATCGTTTGTCATCTAAGTGCAAAGATATAATGCACGTGACCCAAGAGGCCTCTGTGTCTCTGTACTCTCAAGGTGCCCGGGAGCCCTGGAGAAGATCAAGCAGCTACAGGACTCAAAGTGTGGAGAGAAGACAGAGCCCTGTCGGCAGCCTGGCCCATCCCGGCCATCTGGAAGTCCTGGTCAACTCCTGCTGGCAGCAAGCCGAAGCGGGCCTGGTTTTCACAAGAAACCTTCAAGCCCAGGGGCACCCCAGGACCGGGTCACGTGGTAAAATCAAGGTGGAAGCAATCTGGAAAGTTTTGTTCATTGAAACCAAACTCTCCGGATTTCCAAGAAATTTCTAAGAAATCCTGTGCTTTGAAAGCTGCCTTCCGGGCGCATCGCGGGCTGAGTCAGGTGCCCTGGCTTGGATCCAGACAGCAGGGCAGCCGGTCAGGAAGGGACTGCAACACAGCGCAGTCACCACGGAGAACGGGTTCCAGAGCAGAGCCGTGTGCCCGGCCGGAAGAGCGCTGGGAAGCACCAGGTGCCGTGCGCTCATAATCACCCGGGGCTTCTCACGGAAGGGAAATGAGCCTGCTTCCAGACTTCACCGGGAAGCCGCACAAACGCTTTCTTCTGCATCAAAGCCCCCGCAAGGCTACCAGCCGAGTTCTTCCAGACTCCACCGAGGGCACCTGCGGGAATGCCGGGACGTTTACATGGGGCACATTTCCCAGGGCTCAAACGCGAAGCTCGCGAGACATCACACTCCAGTAACTTCCTGACTGATGTCCAGTTCTCCCGCCGAGAAGGTGTTTGCTCAGGTCAGTTCTGAAAAAGGATGAACTTGTGTTTGTACTCGGGAGTTCACCGTGTTTACGTATGCTTACCCTTACATCACTTCAAGGGACTCTTTTTTGATTTTAGCAAAATAAAATCATTTCTACGCAAGCTAACCATACACATACCCTGTGACCCAGCAGCCACTCCTAGGTATATGCTGGACAGAAATGCCTGCGTGTGCACAAAGGACATACCTAAGATCTCCATAGCAGCATTAACAACAGCTCACAGCTGGATGGAGTCCAAATGCCCACAGCAGAATGGATAGTAAGGTGTTGCTGCAATAGAATTCCATAGAACAGTGGTCACTCTTACGTACACAGCATTAAGTAACCAGACACAAGTGAGCACATGGTGTATGATTGACACCATTTATATAGGGTTCAATATTTGAGACAACTTGTGGTGTTGGAAGTCAGAACAAGGAGTGGGCATTTAGCCCAGCAGTTAAGACAGCTGCATCCCACAGCCCAGTGCCTGCGTTGGATCTGCGGCTCCAGCTCCTGACGCCAACTTCCTGCTATTCCAGACAATGGGAGGTGCTGACCCAAATAACTGGGCTCCTGCCACCCACACTGGAGCCTTGGATGGTGTTCCCAGATCCCAGCTCCAGCCCTGACCCAGCCCCAGCAATTGTGGGCATTTGGGGTGGACCAACCGATGGGAATTCTCTCTCTCCCTCTTTCTCTGTGTTTCTCCTCTGTCTCTCTACCTCTCAAGTAAAATAAATAAATAAAAGAAGTCAGAATAGTAGTTACCTTTGGGAAGGAGAGTAAGTGTGGTGGCTGGAGGGGTAAGAGTGTTTCTGGGGTGATGGTAGTCTTCTTCTTTTTTTTTTTTTTTAATTTTTGACAGGCAGAGTGGACAGTGAGAGAGAGAGACAGAGAGAGAAAGGTCTTCCTTTGCCGTTGGTTCACCCTCCAATGGCCGCCGCTGCAGCCGGCGCACCGTGCTGATCCGATGGCAGGAGCCAGGATCCAGGTGCTTTTCCTGGTCTCCCATGGGGTGCAGGGCCCAAGCACCTGGGCCATCCTCCACTGCACTCCCTGGCCATAGCAGAGAGCTGGCCTGGAAGAGGGGCAACCGGGACAGAATCCGGCGCCCCAACCGGGACTAGAACCCGGTGTGCCGGCGCCGCAAGGTGGAGGATTAGCCTATTGAGCCACGGCGCCGGCCCAATAGTCTTCTATTTCTTCAGCTGGCTGGCATAGAAGAGCCAAATTCATAGAAGAGCTCAAAAATTCATTGAGCACTTATTACGTGTTTGTTTTTCTGTATTTGTTGTCTGTTAATGAGAAATATATTTTTAAAATTTATTTTTAAGTTTAACGACTTATTCTGGTAATTGTAACTATTGCTAGGGACAACATATCGGTTACATGCTACCGAATTTCCAGCTGTGCTGCTTATTGTAGCTAGAAAGAGTCTAAATTACGACAGTGGTGAGCACTGTTGTGTGGTACTACTGGTGTCTAAAGCTCTATGTCTCATACCTAATTTAAATTTGGGTATTGGCTCTACCACACTGGTTAACCACCTAATTTTGGAGTTTAAAGTAGCTTAAGATAGTCACTTTGAACCCGATATGGAAATATCTAGCCTCTTGATGAGCTGGGCAGTTGGACTGCCCTTCGTGCTGTGCTTTGGAATTGAACTCATTATGCTGCGCACACACACCTGGGACCTCTCCACTTCCGTGTGATGGATGGCTCAGAGGTCACCACAGTCTTCAGAAGACAGGGCCTTGATGAATAAACCCAGGGAGGGAAAAACCAGGAAATGTTGGGGAGAAACAGGACTTCTCCAGAATGCTTTCTTTTGGGTTACTTGCAAAAATTTAAATTTTGGCTAAAATATTGTATTATTCTTGTAATGGTTCAGTGGCTAAAGAAAAAGGTATAGATAATGGCTGCTACGGCCGGAGCTGCACCAATCCGAAGCCAGGAGCCAGGTGCTTCCTCCTGGTCTCCCATGCGGGTGCAGGGCCCAAGGACTTGGGCCATCCTCCACTGCCCTCCCGGGCCACAGCAGAGAGCTGGACTGGAAGAGAGCAACCGGGACTAGAACCCGGCACCCATAAGGGATGCCAGTGCTGCAGGCAGAGGATTAACCTATTGCGCCATGGCGCCCGACCCTAAATATTATTTCAATAGAAGAACTTAAGCTTTTTTTAAAAAAAGATTTATTTTATTTATTTGAAGGACAGAGTTATAGAGAGAGAGAAGGAGAGACAGATCTTCCATCCATTGGTTCTTCCCCAAATGGCCAAAACGGCCAGGACTACACAAGGCCGAATCCAGGAGCCAGGAGCTTCATCCAGATTTCCCACATGAGTGCAGGGCCCCAAGCACTTGTGTCATCTTCTGCTGCTTTCCCAAGCACATTAGAAGGGAGCTGGGTCAGAAATGGAGCAACCAGGACTCAAACCAGCGCCCATATGGGATGCTGGTGCTACAGGTGGTAGCTCATCCCTCTCCGCTACAACAGCAGTCTGGAGCCTAAGCTTTTTAAAAATAGCTTCTTTGCAGTGTCATTTATATATTTTCACCCATTAGCACTGCAAAGATTTCAGTAAATCTATAGCATTATGCACTAATCATTCTAACCCAGTTATAAAACACTTCCATCACCCCCAGAATGTCTTGGGGTCACTTAGAGTTAGGTAGTCTTGTTTCCACTCCCAATGCTAAGCAACCACTGTTTTGTTTTCTGTTACTAAATAAATTTGCTTTTTTCTCAATATATCTTATAAATGGAATTATACATTGTAGACTGTTATGTTTAGTTTCTTTCACTTGGAATAACGTTTTCAAGGGCAATTGATGTCTTAGCATGTTCAGAGCTTCTTCTGTTTATTGCTGAATAATACCTCATTTGCATGGATATAAAGTAGCCCCTCCTTGCTCCCCAACTCCCAACAGAAGTCCCCAGCAGGGAAGCCCAGAGAAACAGAAAGTAGATCAGTGATTGACAATGGCTGGGGACAGGGGAAATGCTAATGTTTAGGAAATTTCTTTCTGGAGTAACGAAAGTGTCCAATTAGGTAGTGGCAATGGCTTCCACTGCACTCCTGGGCCATAGCAGAGAGCTGGACTGGAAGAGGAGCAACTGGGAAGAACCGGCACCCCAACCGGGACTAGAACCTGGGGTGCCAGCGCCGCAGGCAGAGGATTAGCTTAGTGCCGGCCGAACTGTACACTTTAAATGGATGGATCTTATAGTATGTCAATAAGTCCCAATTACAAAATTTTCTGTCAAAAAAAAAAAAAAAAAACTGAATTGAAAATAATGCCCAAAGGGCCAACACTGTGGCCAGTAGGCTAAGCCTTCACCTGCGGTGCCAGCATCCCACATGAGTGCCAATTTGTGTCTTGGCTGCTCCTCTTCTGATCCAGCTGTCTGCCTATCACCTGGGAAAGCCGTGGAGGATGGCCCAAGTGCTTGGGCCCCTGCACCCACCGGGGAGACCCAGGAAAATCTCCTGGCTTTGGATCAGCATGGCAAAGACCTTTCTCTCTGTCTCTCCCTCTCTCCATCTTTAATTCTACCTCTCAAATAAATAAAATCTTAAAAAAAAAAAGAAAAGAATGCCCAAGGGACATGCACTGTGGCACGGTGGGTTAAGCAATGCCAGCATACTATGAGTACCAGTTCGAGTCCTGGCTGCTCTGCTTCCAATCCAGCTCCCTGCTAACGTTCCTAGGAAAGCGGCCGCAAATGGCCCAAGTGTGTGGGCCCCTCTCCCAACGTGGGAGAGCAGGATGCAGTTCTAGGCTCTTGGTTTTCACCTGGCTCAGCCCTAGCCAGCTATTATTTCCAACTGGGGAGTGAATTTGCAGATGGCAGATCTGTCTGTTTCTCCCTCTCTCTCTGTAACTCTGCCTGTCAAAGAGATAACATACATGTTCTTTAAAAATGCAGAAAATACAATCAAACCACAAGAAAATGGCAAGGCTGACACCTCAGCTTTCAGTACAGGTTCATCGTCAGCTGCACAAGGTAAAAATTTGACAAGAAATGCACAAAATATCATTGAAATTATCAAGAAAAATAATTGACCCATTAACATCTTTTATCACCGAACATCAGGCAAAACGTAAGGTACACCTTAGCCATCATGATGGTATGTTTACAGTCATGTGCTCTTCATCTTCAAAAAGGGCGGTGCTGTGGTGTAGCAGGCCAAGCCTCTGCCTGCGGTGCCGACACCCCATACAGGCTCCAGCTCCTGGCTTTGCCCTGGCCCAGCCTTGGCCATTGAGGCCATTTGGGGAATGAACCACAGAAGGACAATCTCTCTCTGTGTCTCTCCCTCTCTCTCTGTAACTCTGACTTTCAAATAGTTAAATAAATCTTTTTAAAGAAGAAAAACCAGCAGTCAGACATCAGCAGTCTCAGGGAGTCAATCTAGTGTACGAGGGCTCTTCAAGTAGCTCATGGAAGGAAGGTGTTGCAGTCAAGTGCCGCTTCTGGTCCAGCTCCCTGCTGACGTGCCGGGCCCCACCCATGTTGTTATTAATCCATTCACGTGACAAGCTGTGAGATCCCAGGGGCCCTGCGTTCACAAGTGTCCTACCCACAGCACATGTGATTCCACTGCTGACCACAGCCAGAGTGGCCCATTCTCAAGGGACAGCACTCTAAGTTCTGGGGACCAGCAACATGGCGATGCACACCAGGTTTGGGCTTTGATGGTGAACTGACATCCGATTTTCTCAGGAAAACGAATCCACTAAGAAAATGAAACAAAATCAGAGGTGATTATTTAATTTTCTTTTCTTTTTTTTTAAAGATTTATTTATTTAAAAGTCAGAGTTACACAGAGAGAGGAGAGGCAGAGAGAGAGAGAGAGAAAAGAGAGAGTCTTCCATCCAATGGTTCACTGCCTAATAGGCTGCAACAGCTGGAGTTGTGCCGATCCAAAGCCAGGAGCCAGGAGCTTCTTCCAGGTCTCCCACGGGGGTGCAGGGGCCCAAGCACTTGGGCCTTCTTCTACTGCTTTCCCAGGCCATAGCAGAGAGCTGGATGGGAAGTGGAGCAGCTGGGACTCGATATGGGATGCTGGCACTGCAGGCGGTAGCTTTTACCCATTATGCCACAGCACCAGCCCCTGATTATAAATTTGAAAAAAAAAAAAAGGTACTCTAAATGAGCAAAAGAAATAATAAAACAGAATAATGAAAATAGCTTTAAAAATACGAGGTGGACATTTGGTGCCCTGAGTCGTCTCCTGCGATGCCTGAATCCTGCACTGGAGCGCCTGGCTGGACCTCGGCTTCGGCTCTCGGCTTCCAAGCCAGCTTCCTGCTAATGTGTCCTGGGAGGCCGCAGGTGACGGCCCCAGGACTTGGTTCCCGGCAGCCCCGTGGGCAACCTGGACTGAGGTACCGGCCCCCAGACCCAGCTTTGGCCTGGCTCTGACTACTGCAGGCGTTTGGGGAGTCAGCCTGTGGGTGGGAGATCTTGCTCTGTCTCTCAGCATCTCAAATAAATAAATAAAGACTGTAAAAATAAAAATAAATTAATGTGTTTACAAAGCAAACAAGGAGCAGGCACTTGGCACAGTAGTGGCACAAAACGATACCACTTGCTATGCCTGCACCCGCTATCAGACGGCCTGATTTGAGGCCCAGTTCCACTGTCCGTTCCACTTGCCTCCTGATGTGCACCCTGGGGGACAGCAGGTAGTGCTCAAGTGATCGGGCCCCTGTCACTCACATGGGCCACCTGGACTGAGTCTTCCCCGGCTTTGGCCTGGCTCTGCTCCGGGTGTTGGAGGCATTTAGGGAGTAAGCCAGAGGATGAGACCTCTGTCTCTCTCTCTGCCTTTCAAATAAACAAAAAGAACATAAATTTAAAAAACAAGGAAAACAAAAAAGACCAAAACACAAAGAAGAGAAAAAAACAAACAAAAAGTACAGTAATTTTTATGAAAGAGTGAAGCAAAAAAAAAAAATTGTCACTTTTTGACAGGAACAACACGGGAGGGTAACTGTGCAGTGCATACTTTTCTACACTCTTTGGATTATCAGACTATTTGCATGCATTACCCTTTTTATTTTTAAGATTTTACTTGAAAGTCAGGGTTACAGAGAGGGAGAGGCAGAGGCAGAAGGACAGAGAGAGAGAGAGGGCTTCCTTCTGCTGGTTCACTCCCCAGATGGCCAAGAGCTTCTTCCAGGTCTCTCACGTGGATGCAGAGTCCAGGCACTTGGGCATCTTCTGCTGCTCTCCCAGGCGCATTAGCAAGGAGCTGGGTCGGAAGAGGAGCAGCTGGCACTCGAACTGATGCCCATATGGGATGCTGGCAGCAGCTGTACCCGCTGTGCCACAGCGCTGCCCCATATTACTCCCATTTTTAAAATATGAGTCTGTTATTTGGGCACTAAAGTCATAAGTCATTTTGTTTTTCTTTCTGCATTCTTAAAAAGAATAAATATAATTTTAAAAGAGTTACATATTTAAAAATCCCAAAAGACTTTCAAGAACTCCTAGAACAGGAACTAATTGCATCTAAAAATAGCTTAAGCAAAACAAAAAAAGATGATTCTGAAATATTCTTTCCTTCAAAATATTTATTTCAAGGACAAACTTATACCATAACGTGTACTATACATGAAGACAACCACGTGTAAGAAAATTAAGTAGAAAACCTTGAAGAATTCAGTTATTTGGTTATCAAAATATAAAAAATTCTAACCAGTTTTACACTAGATGCTTACGTTGAGAACAGCGTTATTCCATTCAGGTATCAAGCCCAGAGCTGTCCCAGCTCAGATTAATATTCTTCTGCTTGTATGTTCACACCCACCGCCCTGAGACACTCATCACAAACACTGAAATCCAGAATTAGCCCTCAGAAATTCAGAAATTGCTATTTGTTCCTCTTACGGAAATTATCAGGGTTTTGGCTTTTTGTTGATTTTTTTCATGAGTAAATTTTTGTCCCCTAAATTGCTCCCCAAGCAACCACATCAGCCCGTGCGCAATGGGTTAAAACAGATGTACTGCTCCCATCAGCTTTACAAACGCAGAGATAGCTAAACAGGAGTCTCAAGGGGGAGGCAGGGCTGGGCTGCTGATCCACCTAGGGACCCTGGCCATCTGGTCCGCAGAGAGCCACCGCCTTCCCTGACAGCCACCCACGGGCACAGGCAGCTTCCCTCTGTCTAAGATCCTTTCCCGAGGATCTTAGTGATGGAGTCACTGAGAAATCAGGCCAAGAGGGAGAAGTAAAAGCTGGGCTCTCCCAGCAGCGCAGAGTCCTCCAGAGGCAGCCCCTGGCCTCTGCACACCCAGCAGAGGTCGCAGTGTCCTTGTCCCCAGGAGCAGGAGGAGGCGGAGGGAGAGGGGGTTGGCGCTGGGAGAGAGGCCCCACTCATTCGGATGAAGAGCCCTGGCCGCCCCCCGGAGAGTCGCCATGGGGGAGCTGCCCCTTGCTGAGGGGGCCACCCCTTCCTCCAGCTCCGTGTACCGGCTGGGCTCTGCCCTGTGCCCCTGGGCCACGTTCCGCCTCCTGGTCCCACCCACCCAGGGCCCGGGTCTCTTCCTCTGGGCCGTCACTTTCAGAATCAGAGCCGTCTGACTCGTCGTTGTAGAAGTGAATGGTGGCTTGCACCGGGAAGCTGGCCAGCACCTTTTCCCCGGAACTCTGCAGGTACTCCTGGCGCTTGGAAATGGGTAGATAGAGCCTGGCTTTGGGGAAACAAACACAGCATCAGTCCCTGGTCTCCTTTCAGAAAACAGCTGAAAGCCCACTCTTGCCCTGAGCTTGCCTGTGCGCCACTCAGGGATTATTACCAGGGCCTGGCACTGAGCCGAGGCAAATCTCTCCATGGACACGGGAGGGAGGACGCGCTCTGAGGACAGTCAGGGCCGCGTGGAAACGCTGAGTCCCCGGATGAAGGCGCCCACTCTGCTCCGACAAAGGCCCTGACTCCCCCGGCTAATGGGTGGCCCACTTGGGTTGGGGGCCCCGCCCCCAGCCTCTGCAGCGCTGGGACCTTGTAAGCTTTGGCTCTGGAGGAAACTTAGACACGGAAACCCTGGTCGGGAGAGGCAGCTCACCTTTCCAGTGGTTGCACCTGGAGAAGTGGTTACTCTGGAGAAGAGAAAAGGTATGCTTGGGAGAAGAGAGAGACAGGGGCAAGGAGGGGCCAGTGCCGTGGCACAGCATGTTAATTATCCGCCTGTGGCACCGGCATCCCTATGGGCGCTGGTTCTAGTCCCGGCTGCTCCTCTTCCAATCCGGCTCTCTGCTGTGGCCTGGAAAAGCAGTAGAAGATGGCCCAAGTGCATGGGCCCCTGCACCCACGTGGGAGACCAGGAAATAGCACCTGGCTCCTGGCTTCGGATCGGCACGGCTCCAGCCATTCCGGCCATTGTGGCCATTTGGGGAGTGAACCAACGGAAGGAAGACCTTTCTCTCTGTCTCTTTCCCTCTCACTGTCTAACTCTGTCAAATAATAAAAAAAAAGAAAAAGAAAGAAAAGGGGAGAGAGAGAGAGAAAGGAAAGTGAGGCTTAAATATATAAAATTTGGAACTCCTAAAGTTCAGGTTTTGTGGAATTTAGGATTCCAGTTAGATGTGGGGAAATATTTAAAATATACTCCTCTCCCCTCATTTCTTATCCTTGCACTCGGGACTCACAAATGCCTTGGCTCCCCCCACCCCCACCCTGAGGAAGTGAGCAGGTGTGCCTGTCCGTCACCACTTCACCAGCGCACAGGCCAACATCCCCCTTTGCAGGGGGAGGAGGAGCGGGTGGCAGAACAGGGCTAGAGGTCACAAGCGACATGTGGCGGTTCTGCGTTGTCACGGCCATGGAGGAGGTACCATCCAGCTGTCAGCGGACAGAGGCCAGGACACTGCTGAATGTCTCACAACATCCAAGACAGCCCCCGCCCCACACACACTTGGTGATTTCAGCAAATCAGAAACTGGGGAGCAGCACCTGAGGGCGTGGGAGGCAGCCCGGGAATCCTGGCAGGGCATCAAGCAGACAGTGCTTCCCAACCCCAGCTGCACCCTGAATCCGGTGGGAGCCCCAAAACCACACATGCCCGGGCCTGACCTGGGAGCCGGTTAGAACTCCTGGCAGAAGCACCCAGGCATCTGCAATTTCCCTGATTTGAGAGAGAGAGAGAGAGAGAGAGAGATCTCCCATCTGCTGGTTCACTCCCTAAATGCCTGCCACAGCTGTTTGGGGCTGGGTCAGGCTGAAGCCAGGAGCCTGGGACTCCATCCAGGTCTCCCCCATGTGGCAGAGACTCAACTACTCGAACCATCACCAGCTGCCTCCCAGGGTGCTGGAACCAGGAGCCGAGCCAGGACTTGAGCCCAGGCACTCTGACACGGGATGTGGGTATCTCAGCAGGCGTCTTACTCATTAGGCCAAATGCTCACCCCAGCATCTGTATTTTTAAAAGCTTCCCCAGCAATTCCAGGAGAAGTGGAAATCACAGATAAAAGGACTATGGAAGTGTTTCTTTTCCTAAGACCAGTGTAGCCAGTCTGAGGGATCTACCTTTCATCTCTAAAAAGGAATCTTGTGTTAAAGCTCCCTGGCCTTTTAGGCTAACCCAGGTGGAAAATACCCTGAAGAGTGGCAGTGGCGTAGGTTTGGGCGATTTTGGTGGTGGGAACCAGAGATAAGAGATGGACACGGGTAAAAATCCTGACCATGAGCCAGCACCTGGAACGGATGGGACATCAGTGGGCTGCGGAGTCCTGGTCAGCTAGATTGTCTGCTAGTTTATATCCCAGAGGAGAGACAGAAATGTGCCTCAGTATCTAAACAAAGTGCGTGTACTATACAATTCACATGCAGTTGAATTAACTTGAGGCATGATATATATCAAAGGAATCCACAAAAACTAAGTGAGAGAAGCAATTTCTAACTCACAACAGAAACACATTCAGGATGCACAGCAGATGGAGTCCAGGAATCCAACAAAGCATCCTTGACGTTCCTGGGTACGAGCAGACTAACATGGGAGAAGGCACCGAGCGATTTTCACTTGCTGAAGACGCTAAAGGGTCCCCGGTGGTCAGAGGAGAGGGAAATGGAAGATTCCCTCCCGGGAGGGCACCGATTACCTGACCGGATGCTGAAACCCGAAGGCTCCCTTGGATCCCAGAGCTTGTTGGTCACCCCCAGGCTCCAGCTGCAAAAACAGACAGACAGACAGACCAGTCAAGGAGCCCAGGAGGGCACCATGGAGGCATCAGTCCTGGCAAGAGATGATGAAGACGCCAACTCCAAGGGTGGGCATTTGGTGCGACAGTGAAGTCGCCGCATGGGGACCCCCACCCCCTATCAGAGTGCCTGACTCGCATCCCAGCCACTCTGCTTCCAATCCGGCTTCCTGCGCATGCACACCCTGGGGGGCAGAGATGATGGCTCAAGTACTTGGGTCCCTGGCACCCCTGTGTGTCGCTCCCCCTCTTCGTGGAGGAACGACACAGGACCCTGCGCTGTTCTTTCGTCTGCTCGGCCCTCCCCGGGTTGGCTGCTGGTTCTTCCCGGGTTGGCTCCCGTCCCTTCCACCTCCGTGGAAGGGCGGTTCCCCCTGCCACTTTCCCCACTTCCGCGGGGGAGCGGCACACCGCCGGCCGGCTCTCTCGGGGGCTGCTCAGATGTTCCTCAAGTGTTCCTGGTGCATGTTGTCTCTCTCCTCCTTTATAGTCCTCTTCCGCCAATCCCAACTCTGCTACCCACACGCTGAGTACGCTGCTCTCCTGCAATCAGGAGCAGGTCCTGCTGTTTATTGGTTGAACTGGAGGCAGCTGTGTAGAAGCTGTTTCCTCCTCTCCCAGCGCCATATTGTGGGAGAGCAGATGCATAGAATAAGTCTTAATTCCAGTAACAGTCTAGTCTGAGTTGCTCCCCACACCTGTGGAAGACCCAGATGGAGTTCTCGGTTCCTGGCTTGTATGGGTATCTGGGGAGTGAACCAGCAGGTGGGAGATCTCTGTCTGTCTCTTTGCCTTTCAAATAAAATGACAATAAAAGTTTGGCAAGAATGTGAACTCAGGTAACAGCAGTGGAAGGTGAAGGGAAGGCAGCTTCCCACCACACTTCAGTAACATCCAAGGGGCCCGTGGCCACTGGCAGATCACGAACCTGGGAGAGAGAAGCTAGCTGGGCACCAGGCATGGAGACAGCACGAATGAGGAGAGCCAGGCCTCCCACGCCAACTGCCTACAAGGTGACCAGGAAGGCGAGGGGACGGTCGCACAGTCGATCCCAGTTTACCCAAACACCTGCCGGTGCAGGCGGACCTGAATGGACCGAGGAGCCAGGGATCACTAGCTCCAGTCTCTCTGGAAGCTCCGCTATTGTGCGCAGTGGGGAGTGGGATGTCCAGGGATGACCAGAAATGCACTGGGGCAGCAGACCAGAAACTCTGAGCCCTTGGAGTCCAAACAGTCGAACGGGACCCAGATAGGGAGTGGGGCAAAATCTGCTACTTTGGTGTGACAAGAAAAGGCCCTGAGGGCTTCCACACTGTTGATCTCCACACTGGTCCATGCTGCAGGGGACCTGGGGCGTGTGTGTGTGTGTGCACACATGTGTGTGCAGTCCTGTGTGTGTGACACCTGTGAGCAAACTGGCGTGCAGTGAGCCTCTGCATTCCATCAGCCACAATTTTATCAAATATTGTGATGAGCTAAGAGGGGTAAAACGAGGCTCGGGTATGGTTTGGATCCAGTCTGAGTCTGTGCCTGAAGGGCTCATGTGTTGAAATTTCATCCCCACAGAGAAGTACAGTGGGGAGGTAGAAACTTGATCGACTATGATGTGATTAGGATGAGATAAAGGCACCAGGGTGGAGCCTGCATTGAATCCTGGTGGCTTTAGGAGCAGAGACAGAGGCCAGAACACACACAGGCAAGCTCTCCATCTCTCACCACGGGATGCCTTGTGCTGCCAACAAGAAAACCATCACCAGGCGCAAACCCTTGACCTTGGACCAGAGCCGTGAGCCAGAATAAGCCTCTTTGCCTCCCAAGTAGCCCACCTGGGGTATTTTGTTGCAGTAATGAGAAATGGACCACTGTGGGCTGTTTGGAGCAAAATCTTTTCATTCGCAAAGTTCACTCCTTGAGGGCTACAAGAAGTCGCTTCTGTGCTAAACTCTGCCCTCAGTCAGCATCCCTAAGCTCAGGCTCACTCTATCACCACCAGCAAGCAGGTCCCGCTAAAGACAAATTCATGTCCTGTGACGGGGCAGGGACGAGGGTCTAATACCACACTGCAGACTCCGGCAGGCCGAAGGCAGGCGGGACAGAGGCTCCACAGTTCCCTTCACATGTCCAGTCCTAATGAGACTGCGACACATACACTGCACCTGTCTGAACTCTAAAAGCTTCCCCCACTAACATGCACAGCTGCTGTAAATATAACTATGTTCCAAAAAATCTTATTAAAGATACTTTCGGTGCCGGCGCTGTGGTGTAGAGGGTAAAGCCACTGCCTATAGTGCCTGTGTCCCATATGAGTGCTAGTTGGGGTCCTGGCTGCTCCACTTCTGATCCAGCTCCCGGCTAATGCACCTGAGAAATCAGCGGAAGATGGCCCAAGTGCTTGGGCCCCTGCACCCGCGTGGGAGACCTGGGGAAGCTCCTGGCTCCTGGTTTCAGATCGGCCCAGCTCCGGCAGCTGCAGACATTTGGGGAGTGAACCAATGGATGGAAGACCTCTTTCTCTCTCTGTAACACTGCTTTTCAAATAATCTTTTTTTTTTAAAGATACTTTCAGATTCTGCTCATTACATGGAAAGAGAATCGGGAGCAAGCTAAGCATGTCAGCGCACGCAGGGAAGCGTGTCCTCCCAGGAGCCAGAGAGCACACACAAGCAGAGGGAGGCGGCCTTCTCTGCTCCACGCCAGCCTCTGGCTAGCCGAGGGCCTCAGCTACACGAAATTGGGAAGCTGGGCCCGGCCCAGGAACACACTCCCAGACCCCTTCCAGGAAATCGCCTGCCCAGGGAGCCGGGGAGTGCCGGCAGGGAAACCCGACAGAGCACACAGCTCCTCAGGAGTGAAAGGGGCGCCGAGTGGGCGAGCGTGATCCCATGCTCAGGGCACGGGGCCTTGAGGCCTCCCCCCAGGCTTAGATTTTATTCCAATTTTGATCTGCTTGCCGAGAGGCCTGGTACGGACCACTCTCACCCCCACCACCGCCCAGAGCTTGAGAAATTCTACCGGCCGGGCCCTGGAGCCGAAGAGTTCTCCGGCTTTGCCGAGAGAGGGCGCTGTGGAGCAAGACGCGTTCTCTCCCCGCACCTGGCTGCACCCACCGCTCCGGGCTGCTGGACTCAAAGCCCGCCGCTCCGCTCCGCTGGACCCCTGGGCTCTGCAAAGAACTGGCCTAGGGGTGGGGCGACACACCCCTCCCCGAACCCATCTATGCCCACGGCAGCTTCACACGGCGAGCCTCTCTTCGCAACCTCCTTGCAAATCAAACCCAAAGCCGCTCTGCTTCTCCCTAGGATGTCCGCTGCCCTGTTCTCATTCCTGCAAACAACCCTCAGACTTCAGTGAAAATAAAGTTGGATAATTGCAGACATCTGTATTCTCTCTCGCCCTCCTTTTAAATCTTGCGTTTAAGAACTTAAGTTTGAGTGCAAAAGAAGGAATTATTTTACATGATTTAGCTATCGCAGGTAAGAATAACTGGGACTACAAAAATTACCTCTTGTTAACTTGTTATAGATTTTACTTGCTTCATTCTTAAAGTTTATATAGAAAGTGAAGTGAATATTTAGATTAATTTAAATTAATTTAGATTAATTTATGAAAGTAGCTCAAATCTCAAAACGGTACGTTTCCCCATACTGTTCCTTTTCTTATCCTAAGGCAAACCCCATGCTGGGCCCTGGGACTTCAATGCAAGGCTCTCCCTGGCCAGATGAACTCCTCGGTGCTTTGAAGATCATGGATTCATATTTTTAAATGTAACAAAGGAAAGGTAAAGTCTATGAAAGGGAGTCATTACTCCAGCCATGTATAAAGCAATTGAGTTACCAGCACAGGAAAACAAAAGAGTGGCACTGGTCATTAATCTTGGGCTCCAAAGCCCGGGCTTGAGTGTGTTTGCTCAGACAACAACTTAAACGACCCAGCAGGGTGTGCAGACTGGGGGGACCACGGTGCTTCGGGAAGGGCCAGACGGCGGCCTGGCGGGGCTGTGGGCAGCGCCCCGTGGGCAGCTCAGCCGGCGCGGCCCCTGTTTGCACGGCGGCACCAGCCCGGCGCGGACGGTGCGCTCAGCGGCCCTCCACAGGGGCGGCGGCGGTGGGCAGGGGCCAGGGTGGCCGTCCTCTCCACACCAACACGGAAGAAATCCCTTAGGATTCCCAGGAACCAGCGTGCCGGGTTGTTGGCTTTGTTTTCTCAAGCAAGGCGGAGCTATGAGAAGCGCACACTGGGGTCCGGCCAAGGCACCTCAGGTTTAGCTGGCCAGGGGCGGGGCGGCCGAGCCGGCCTGGCGTGGCCGCTGTGCTCAGGGTCCGTACGCGCGTCGGGTGACCACACTTACCCTTCCCGGGCTCCCAGTCGGGGTCAGCTGGGCACCTCTGGGTGTCAGCGTCCAAGGTCTCCACGGCGTGCGGCTGGAACAAGCCCGAGGACAGAGTGACCGGCGGGCCTTTCTGTGGCATCCGGAGGTCACTCTCCTGTCTAAGGTCTGCCTCCGGGGGAGTCACTGGGCACCCCCAAAAGCTCCCTGGGGTTCTCGGGTCTGTGCACAAGCCAGGGCCCCGCTTGCGTTTCTCTCCAGTGCGCTCCCCGTTCCCTGCCTCTAGGCTCTGGGAATCTAAGCCCTGCCCGGCCACAATCCTCAGGGAACGCATGGGCTGCAGGCTCTCTCCCCACCCCACCCTCACCTCCCCAAAGAAAGCAAACCCTTTCTCCCCTCGGACTACTCCACTTCCCTAAGGACTTTGATTTTCTCAGAAAGGGCTGGTGCGCGAGGCCGGCTTTGGGACCCCGAGGCTTCGGTTCCCAGCTCGGGGAATTTCACATCTTCCAGAAACACAAGCGCGGGCCCATTTCCTTTCCGCACTTGACAGCAGCGCGTCTGGGCGACCGGGCCCTGCGCCCCTCTGCCTCTGGTGTCGCCGTCGGGCTCTGGGGGTCCGCGGGGCCCGGCGGCGCCCGGGTGTCCGAGTCGCTGCGTTCCTGGCGCCCGCATCGCGCGCGCCTCTCCACGCGTCCACCGGGGCCGCGGGGACACCCTCACCTCTCTTGCCCGTGCGGTGGCGGCCGCACCTGGGAACCGTCCCCGGGGCAGTGACAGCCGCGCCCCCGCGCCTCCGGGGCTCCAGCCTCCGTCTCGGGTCTCATGGTGCCCGCCAAGCTGCGCGCTCCGGCGTCTGCGCCGCACCTCAGTCCTCCCGGCCCGCGCTCGGCGCCAGGTTTAAAAACAGGGGCGGAGCAGGGAGGGGACACGGGAAACCGCGGGCGGGGGGTAGGGGATCGGAGACGCTGCCGGAGGGGACGGGGACAGTGCGAGGACCCGCGGCGGGGGCAGGGCGTGTCCAGGAGCGGACTGGAGAAGCCCGGGGCAAGGGTGCGCAGCGGACAAAGGAAAACCCAGGAGGGGCGTGGTGGGGGGAGGTTTCCGGAGAGCCTGGCCTTCACCCACCGAGAGGTTAGCGAGGTGCCCGGCCGCGGGCTCCCCGACTCCGGTGCCCAAGGGGACGGTCTCGGGTCCAGGCGCAGTCGGGCCGCCGGGAGCGCGGAGCGGGATGGGGAGGCGGCGGAGACGCCCTTAGCGCCGAGCGGCCCGCGGAGAGAGTGCGGCTTCTTTCCCGGGAGGGCGGCGGTAGACGTCCCCGGGATCCTGATGAGCGCTGGGCTGGGCCTCGGGGACGCGTTCGGGTGCTGGGGGCCCGCTGCTGGCTCGGCGGCCTGCGGGACAGAGCCAGCCCTGGGGCGCCCGGGACTCCCGGCCTCCTGGCTGCGGTGGGATCAGCGCCGGGGCGCACACCCTCGCGCCTGGAGAACTGGAGCTCACTTTCCGTACTTCACGTTAATAGACAGAGATCACCAACCGTCGGTGATCTTTCCCCCTTTTTCCTTTAGATTTTGGCAATAGTCTAACCTAATTCAAGGCAAACAGCGAAGGGTGATTAATTAATAACTTTGGGCGGTGTTACACAAACAATGACAGAGACGGAATGCGGGCGTGGAGGAGGGCAGAGACCCCTGTGAAGCGGTGAGGGGCGGGGCGGTTCTAACCCACCGGCGCAGGCGGGGTGCAGGGACAGCGCTGGGCACCCAGGCGTGGGCGCCGTGAGCCGGGAAGAGCGGGTAGCGATCCGGGAGCGTTGGGTGCATCTGCAATTGTTCGCCTGCTGGCCTAGTCTCTCCTCCGGTGTGGTGTCTGCCTTTCTGAAATGGGAATAAGAATGTAGCTAATGACAGAGAGATGTTCCTTGCCGTGGTGGTACTTAGACCGTCTTCCAAGTGCGTCTAAAACTATGGCAACCATTAGGCAGCTGATGGCAGCATTGGATGCGGCTAATAAGTGTAGAGATTTTTAACAGCATGCGGCAATGCTTAGGAGGCTAGGAAAACAAAACTTGAACTACAAAAAAAGTCTATGAGTAACAAACCAGAAACGGCCCCTGAGAACTCGGATGATTAAGGATGCTATGGGGTTGTTAAGAACATGTTCCGGGGCAGGCATTTGGGCCAGTGGTTCAAGATGCCCGTCAGGACGCCCGAGTCCCATCTCATGGTGCCAGGGGTTCACTCCTGCTCTGTCTCCCGACCCCAGCTCCTGTTACTGAAGACCCTGGGAGGCAGTGGTGAGGGCTACAGGACACGGGTTCCAGACACCCATGGGAGACTGGGTTGAGTCCCAGCCCTCAGCTTGGGCATTTGCGGAGTGAACCAGCGGGTGGGAACTCTGTCTCTGTCTCATCTTTAAAGTGTTCTTTAAATTTTCCATGGTGGCCGGCGCCGTGGCTCACTAGGCTAATCCTCCGCCTTGCGGTGCCGGCACACCGTGTTCTAGTCCCGGTCGGGGCGCCGGATTCTGTCCCGGTTGCTCCTCTTCCAGGCCAGCTCTCTGCTGGGGCCTGGGAAGGCAGTGGAGGATGGCCCAAGTGCTTGGGCCCTGCACCCCATGGGAGACCAGGAGAAGCACCTGGCTCCTGGCTTCAGCTCAGCACGGTGCGCCTGCCACAGTGACCATTGGAGGGTGAACCAACGGCAAAAGGAAGACCTTTCTCTCTGTCTCTCTCTCTCACTGTCCACTCTGCCTGCCAAAAAAAAAAAAAAAAAAAAAAAAAAAAAAAAAAAAATTCCATAGTAAATATATTATTTTTATTATGGCAAAGAATGAAGAACCTGCATTTATAATTTTAACCCTTTTCAGATGTACAGTTGAGTTGGTGGGCAATCATCCCACTGTCTGTCTCCAGTGGCTGAAACGGAAACTCCACCTGTTCAACAGCCCCCAGCCCAGCCCAGCCCTTGGGTACCACCGCTCCACTGTCCCTGTCTCTGAATCCCATCAGTCCAGGCTCCTGTCCTGGGGCACAGGGTAGATCAGAGTTTTAACCCTCACCCCAGCCCTGCCAGGTCGGCATTATCCTCCATTTACAGACTAGGAAATTGGGGGTGAGAGAAGGTAAAGGGTGGTGCGTACCGAGGTCTGGTTAGAGAGCCAGACCTCACTCTCCCACCAGGTGCACGGGTTTTAGAAACCGAGGCCTCTGAAGATACACGGGAAAGGGCAGGAGGACCCGAAGCAGGAGGCACTTGACTTTCTCATACCTTTTTTTTTTTTCCTTTGCCAATCACAGTATAAGACCACCATGGCCAAAGCTGGGACAGTTTGAGCAACAAAATAGAGTAAAATTTGAGTATAACTCAGAATATAAAATATTTACAAATTTATTCTGACACCAATATCTAGTGAATAAATGAAAAAATTGGGAGAAATAGGCAAATGTTCTTAGTAGAAAAGTTCCAAATAATTGATGCAGATAATCTCTCCTCAAAGAGCAGCGTGTAGGGACTGGTGTTGTGGCGTGGTGGATTAAGACGCCACTTGCGACGCTGGCGTCCCGTGTCACAGGGCTGGTTCCAGTCCTGGCTGCTCTGCTTCTGATCCAGCTCCGTGCTAATGCTCCTGGGAAAGCAGTGGAAGATGGAGCAAGTCCTTGTGCCCCTGCCACCATGCGGGAGGCCAGAAGAGAGTTCTGGCTCCTGGCTTCAGCCTGGCTTAGCCTCAGCTCTTGCAGTCATTTGGGGAGTGAACCAATGGAAGATCTCTCTGTCTCCCCTTCTCTCTATCACTCTGCCTTTCAAATAAATAGATGCACTTTAACAAAAGAGAGAGTAACATGTAACTACTTAAACCATAACTTAAATCCATAACTGCACATTTTGGTGACAAAGTGGTTGATGCAAAATTTTTATTGGTGATAATGAACTTTTTTATACGTCATCTCTAGATAGAGGAATTAAAATACAATAAAAATAAACTGCTATTGAGGTGGTTGGGAGTTAACAGGGCTTTTGTGTTACCAAGTATACTGTATTTCTTATCCTTTTTTTTTTTTTTTTTTTTTTTGGTCTATGGAAGATCTTTGTGATAGAGGAAGTAAGGGGGGGGGGGATAGAATTCTTAAGGAGTAATTAGGCCACTAGTTTATAAACTGTTAGTCCCTGCCTGAGAGGTGATCTTGGAATTAAATAAAATGGAGATTCAACTTCTTGCTATGCTGTCTTTAATTAAAAATTCTTTTTTCTGTAGGTTGACTTTCCATGTTGCTTGGAAACAAAGAGTAAAGACGTTAGCCCCCAGGGCTTCCGGGCTCCCAGGAGGAGGCTGGCAGTAGTGAAAACACTGAGGGCAGAATATTTTCACATAAACAGTGTGAAGGCGGCAGGGAAGTGATCATTTCCTTCCCTTGTTTAGTCAGACCGCATTTCCTGTCACCCCCCTGTGCATTTCTGGAAAGTTTTAGAAGCTACAAGATGTTGGGATTGCTCTTGGTGGTGCTACAGGGGGACTATATATGCGTTTAATTCATTTGGTTTTGCTTTCTGACTTGTGATTAGAACACAAACGGCATAGCATTCTACCATCGGGACTGTTTGGAGTGCACCGCTCAGCGGCAGTAGGCACAACGTTGTTGTGCGGCGGTCACCGTCTACTGAAGCTCTTAGTAACTTCGCAGTTCGTCTGCCTACCTGGCCCCCAGCATCCGACACACTTTCTGTCTGCCTGCACCTGACTGCGCCAGCTACAAGTGGATTCTCCATGCAAGTGGAATTGTACAGTGTTGATCTTCTGGTGGCTGGCTTCTCACACTTGGCTAAATGTCTTCAAGATTCATCCATGTTGTAGCATGTGTCAGAATGTCCTTACTTTTTAAGGCTGGATAATATCCTACGGTTTGTATATATTACATCTTGCTTATCCTGGATGCCTGCGTTGCTTCTGCCTTTCTGGGGATTGTGAATACGCCGTGTAGGGCAGGAAAGTCTGGCACCTGTCCTTACCTGCCAGAAGGGTCACATGGGGTCCGGCACTGTGGGGTAGCAGGTAAAGCCGCTGCCTGCAGTGCCAGCATCCCATGTGGGCACCGGTTCAAGTCCCGGCTGTTCTACTTAAAATCCAGCTCTCTGCTATGGCTTGGGAAAGCAGTAGAAGATGGTCCAAGTGCTTGGGCCCCTGCACCCACCTAGGAGACCCAGAAGATTGGCTCAGCTCTGGCCCTTGTGGCCATTTGAGGAGTGAACTATTGTATGGAAAACCTCTCTCTCTCTCTCTCTCTCTCTCTCTCTGCCTTTCAAACAAATTTTTTAAAAAAAGGGTCACACCAACCATCCCATGACAAAAGACACTTGAACAAGAGAAAAAGATAGCAAACGCATTTTATCAGTTTTACGTGACATGAGAGCCTTCAGAAATGAAGACTCAAAGATCCAGAGGAAACTGTTTTATGTGTCACTTCAGTGAAGAAGTAGAAATGTACTTGGGCAGAAAGGTGCTGTGGTTTGGATAACAGGTTGCAAGTCTCCCAAAGGTCCATGGGTTAAGGACCAGTCTTACCTTAATGCATCAAGGATGAAACTTAATCCAATCACAGTGTCCGGAGGAGGTCCTTGGAAGGTGCCTGGATTGGGTTATGTTGCTGGCATTATGAAAGACCACCTAGATGAGGCGAGATGAGAAGTGTACCTCCTGGCTCCCTCTGCACGCTCCACCATCGCCTGCCTCCGCCCCCACCAGATACCAGATCTCTGGAGCCATGGGATCTTGGACTGTGAACCTCCAAAACCGTGAGCCCAAGTGAACCTTCTTCCTTCATTAGTAGGAACTCTCAGGTGTTTTATAGTGGAGGAGCGAGAAGTTGATACGAAGCAGATGGCCCAGTGGAAGTGGACGGAACGAAGCCCAGCACGGCCTGTCTGTCCAGATTCTTCCTGGCCCTTCTGTGGGGCATTCCTTCCTGCCAGGTGTGGGGCAGGACTTCCCAGGAATCGGGTTTTACGACAGACAGCTGACAGGTGGGTTAGAGAGCTTTATGGCCAGCTCCTTGGGGGAGGCAGGGAAGCAGGAGATGGGAGGTGAGAGACTGCTTCTGCGGCTGCTTCTGGAGCCTTCCAAGCCCCCTTGGTTCAGAGCCCTCAGCAGGCCAGGCCTCAGTACTTTGGGGTGTTAACCTTCTCGGCCCCAACACTGCTAAGAGCAAATGCATTTGCATCGGCTTTCAATTCTCTTAGATAGAGAACCCGAATTGTTTATTAAATGGATTTGTTTTTGAATTCTTATTTTAAGGCCTGGATTTGCTTTGTATTCCATGTGTGAAGGGAAACATGGTAACCAAGCTTAGCCATCGGCGCTGCAGACCTGCAGGTTCAACCACAGGCTGACTGATGTCTAGAGCGGAATCTCCAGAGACTGCAGGGGTTCAAGGCACTGCCACAGCAGGGGCTGCCACACCCGCCCTGCTTTCTCCACCACCGCCTACCGTTCTCCCTCCCATCACTGCCCCTGGAGCCCCTGGACCAGGAGCAGCCTTGGCACACTCGCCCCAGGCGGCTGCAGACATCTGCCGGGCTTGTCCCCTCCCCTCCTTCAGGTCCTCAAGCAGCTGCCCCCAGATGATGCCTGGACACTGCAGAAAAGCACCTCTGTCCACACACACGGACAACACCTCCATGTGCCCTGTCCTTTTCTGCTCGTTGCTCTCCATCCTATTTGTTTTTTAATTTAATTTAATTTTTATTTTTTAAAGATTTATTTATTTATTTATTTGAAAGAGCCATAGAGAGAGGTAGACAGAGAGAGAGGTCCTCATCTGCCAGTTCACTCCTCAGTTGGCTGCAATGGCCGGAGCTGCGCCGATCCGAAGCCAGGAGCCAGGAGCTTCTTCCAGGTCTCCCATGCAGGTGCAGGGGCCCAAGGACCAGGGCCATCTTCTACTGCTTTCCCAGGCCATAGCAAAAAGCTGGATTGGAAGAGGAGCAGCCAGGACCAGAACTGGCGCCCACACGGGACGCCGGCGCCCCAGGCCAGAGCTCTAACCCACTGCACCACAGCGCCAGCCCCTCGTTGGTTTTATAAAGACTACATGTTCCCCCAACCTGGCTTCCTTTTTTTTTTTTTTTTTAAGATTTATTTACTTATTTATTTGAAATGCAGACTTACAGAGAGGCAGAGAGAGAGGCCTTTCATCATCTGGTTCACCCCACAAAAGGCCACAACAGCTGGGGCTGTGCCAATCAGAAGCCAGGAGCCAGGACTTCTTCCGGATCTCCTACATGGGTGCAGGGCCCCAAGGACTTGGGCCATCTTCTGCTGCTTTCCCAGGCCATTAGCAGGGAGCTGGATTAGAAGTGGAACAGGGCCGGCGCCACGGCTCACTAGGCTAATCTTCCACCTTGCAGCGCCGGCACACCGGGTTCTAGTCCCGGTCAGGGCGCGGATTCTGTCCCGGTTGCCCCTCTTCCAGGCCAGCTCTCTGCTGTGGCCCGGGAGTGCAGTGGAGGATGGCCCAAGTGCTTGGGCCCTGCACCCCATGGGAGACCAGAAGAAGCACTTGGCTCCTGCCATTGGATCAGTGTGGTGCGCCGGCCAAAGGAAGACCTTTCTCTCTGTCTCTCTCGCTGTCCACTCTGCCTGTCCAAAAAAAAAAAAGTGGAACAGCCGGGATATGAATCAGCGCCCATGTGGGATGCTGGCATCCAGGCAGCAGCTTTACCTGCCGTACCACAGTGCCGGCCCCACATTTCACATACTCTTCTCGTATTTTGTCTTTCTCTTCCAGTAAGACAGCCGCTGAGACAGAGTTTGTCTGCTTCATTCCCTGCTATATCCTGGTGCCTACAGCAACTCCTGACACAGTAGGTGTCGAAGAGTGTGTAGACGTGACTGTAGTTAGCTTCACAGGACAATGAGGATGGTCTCTGGCGAGGTCAGGTGGAGTGTGCACTTCCAGCTAACACCCAGCAGGAGAGTGTATGGAAAACAGCGCTTCTCTACCCTGGGGGCACTCAGTTAGCAGCAAGACCTCAGTTGGAGCTGCCCACACAACATGGCATTCCACCCACACTGGCTTGCCCGCTGGCCCCCAGAAGGGTTCAAGTACAAACCCCCTGGAACCTTGAGTGTAACTTTACTCGGAGAAAGAGTCTTTGCAGACGCAGTTAAGTTGGGGATCATTTCAGGGTGCCTCCTGGCTTTCTTTCTTTCTTTTTTTTATTATTTATTTGACAGGTAGAATTATAGACAGTGAGAGAGACAGAGAGAAAGGTCTTCTTTCTGTTGGTTCACCCCCCAAATGCCCGCTATGGCTGGCACTGCGCCCATCTGAAGCCAGGAGCCAGGTGCCTCTTTCTGGTCTCCCACGGGGGTGCAGGGGCCCAAGCACTTGGGATGCTAGCGCTGCAGTTGGAGGATTAACCAAGTGAGCCATGGCGCCGGCCCCGCCTCCTGGCTTTCTACCCAGGGACTGGAAAGGGGGCAAGACCTGTGACTTATTCAGATCATCCCCTCATGAAAATGGTTTGAGGTCCAGGGATCCCTGACATTCAGGTTCTATTCTGATGAACTGAAAATCAAGAGGCCAGCGTTGTGGCAGAGCAGGTAAAGCCGCTGCATGAATTGCCATATGGGCACTGGTTTGAGTCCTGGCTGTTCCACTTTATTTTTTAAGGTTTATTTTTATTTATTTGAAAGACAGAATTACAAAGAGAGGTAGAGAGAGAGAGAGAGAGAGAGAGAGAGAGAGAGGTAGAGAGGTCTTCCATCTGCTAATTCATTCCCCAAATGGCCATAATGGCCAGAGCTGAATGATCTGGTTAGGAACCAGGAGCTTGTTCCGGTATCCCACGTGGGTGTGCAGGGCCCAAGGACTTTGGCCATTTTCCACTGCTTTCCCAGGCCATGGCAGAGAGCTGGATCAGAAGAAGGACAGCTGGGACTAGAACCGGTACCCATATGGGATGCCGCACTTCAGGTTGGGGCTTTACCCTGCTGCGGCGCAGCGCCGGCCCCTGCCACACTTCTGATCCAGTTCCCTACTAATGCACATGGGAAAGCAGCCAAAGATGGTCCAAGTTATTGGGTCCCTGACACCCATGTGGGAGACCCCTGGTGAAGCTTCTGGCTCCTGGCTTAGCCTTGGCCCAGTCCTGGCCATTGCAGCCATTTGGGGGATGAACCAATGGATAGAAGATCTCTCTCTCTCTCTGCCTTTCAAATAAATAAATAAATCTTTGGGGAAAAGATATTAACGGCTTCTCTTTTTCCCTTCTTCTCTGGGTTTATTTACTTACTGATTCATTTAAAGGCAGAGAAACAGATAGGCAGGCAGGTAAGTAAATGAATGCTACATAGAGAAACAGGCAGGTAGGTAAGTAGACAGATGGATGCTACATAGACATTAGAGAGCTCCACTTACTGCTTCTCTCCCCAATGCCCAAAATGGAGGGGCCATGGCCAGGCCTGGCAGAAGCGGGGCGCTGAGAACTCAGTTCAAGTTTCCACAGGGGTGGCAGGAACCCGACTGCTTGAACCATCACCTGCTGCCTCCCAGGGTTTGCATTGGCAGGAAGCTGGAGTTAGGACTGGAGCCAGGAATCAAACCAGGCACTCCACCCTGGGATTCAGGCATCTTAACCACTAGGCTAAAAGCCTGCCCTGGGTTTTTTATGGCATTGGAAAAAAAAAAAAGTGTGTTTCCCATGGGTATGTATTTTAATGGGGCTGGAGCAGCATGAGGAAGGTGAGGAGGAAGAGCAGTTACATTCCAGGAATCTCTGCTTCCTAGAAAATACAGGTATTTTTTCTAACTTTTGAGATAAAAGTGAGTGGGTGTCCAGCCTACTTCCCGTTCTCCGTGGGAAGATGACCTTGCCCATGGTCCAATATAACCTTAAGCTCCACACTAGTGGAAGAGAGAGCAACTGGGCCAGCAATCAGGCATAGCCTGAGAGGCTCGAATCCCATATGGGAGGGCATGGGTTTGAGTCTTGGCTCTGCTCCTACTAGTGTGCTTCCTGGGAGGCAGCAGACGGTAACTACATAGGTGGGTCCCTGCCACACATGTGGGAGACCCAGGCAGGGTCCCCAGATGCCGATCTCACCCTGGCATCTGTGGGCATTTGGAGAATGAACTGGCAGGTAGAAGATCTCTCTCTGTGTTCTGCTGTGTCCCTGTCTCTTTGCTTCTCAAAGCTATTTTAAAATAAGAAAAGTTAAAAGAATTACAAAAAGAATAGACAACAACAGTTTATTATGTATACTGTCTGGTATATGATAGACACAACTGCCTTGTAATTGGACACATATTATTTATTTTTATTTATTATTATTTATTTAGTAGACGGGAAGTTTACAATCCATGTTGTATCCCCAGGTCTCAGAACCATCTCTGGACACTGGTGGGGATGTATGCTTGCCTGTCTTTTAAGAGACTCCAAGTAGCAGTGAGCTACATAAGGTAGGTTTGTTTCTTACAGTCTGGAGGAGGTAATGGGGGCTGAAAGCCACACGCCCCTTCTTTCTCACTCCCCCACTTCCCCATGCGCTGCCAGCATCCTCAGGACCCAAGGCAGCTTGCCACCAAGTCCATGTTCCAAGAAGCAGGATGGGGAGAGACAGGGACCCCTCTTCTGCGTGCTGTGACATAATACCATCAAGTGGGAAGCTCATCCACAGTGGACATTTTTTTTTAAGATTTATTTATTTATTTGAAAGTCAGACTTACACAGAGAGAGGAGAGGCAGAGAGAGAGAGAGAGAGAGAGAGAGAGGCCTTCCTTCTGATGGTTCACTCCCCAGTTGGCCACAACAGCCAGAGTTGGCCCAGTCTGAAGTCTGGAGCCAGGAGCTTCTTCTGGGTCTCCCATGAGTGTGCAGAGGCCCAACGACTTGGGCCATCTTCCACTGTTTCCCAGGCCATAGCAGAGAGATGGATAGGAAGTGGAGCAGCCGGGTCTTGAACCGGCGCCCATATGGGATGCAGGCGCTTCAGTCCAGGGCGTTACCCACTGCGCCATAGCACTAGCCCCTACGTGATATTTTATCTGCTGAACATGAGGACAGGAGCTGTCCCCACGCGGCAGAATCACTTCCATGATGGTGACCCTTGTATCTCAAGTGCAGCAGGAATAGAAAAAGCTCATTTTCTTGTAGAACTTTCTCGAAAACCTCTGTCTCCAGTTCCACCGCTGTGGGTGGTCCTGGTTTCGGAGTCACTCAGGTCTCTGTTCCCTCTCATCTGACCCCACGTGGCCTTGGGATGATCCTTCCTGATGCCACATGCTCACTCAACACAGCTGCCAATTGCCCAAGGCACGCCTGGCCCCTCAGCGCGCCTGCCTGGCCTTTCTCCCGAGCCACAGACAACCTGCTGCTGAGTGTCCTCACTCTCGGCTCAAAAATGACACAGCACGCAGGGTGGTGCAGTTCAAGGGCCCATCCTCTCCTTCCTCATCATCCCCCAGCGCCTGCAGACCCCTCTCTGTTGCTTTAGGACCCTTGATGCAAATACAAGTGTGTTTTCTAATCAGCCAGCCTGCTTTTTACACACAAGGGAGCTTACTCTATTCCAGATATTTCTATGTCTTTATTGATACACAAAGAGCTTCCTTATCCTTTGACTGTCTTGCCTCGCCTACCTCCTTAAAGAGCTGCACAGTGTTCCCCTGAGGAGTGCTGACATTTATTCGAGGGACCAGAGTGGTGGTGCAGTGGGTTAAGCCACTGCCTACACCACTGGCGTCCCCTAAGGGTGCTGGTTCCAGTCCCAGCTGCTCCACTTTCCATCCAGCTCCCTGCTGAGGCACCGAGAAGGCATCGGAGGATGGCCCCAAGTGCTTGGGCCCTGCACTCACGTGGGGGACCTGGAGGAAGCTCCTGGCGTCAGCCTGGCCCGGCTTCAGATGTTGTGGCCATCTGGAGGGTGAACCAGCAGATGGAAGATCCATCTCTCCATCTCTCCCTCTCTCCCTCTCTCCCCTGTCTCTGTAACTCTGCCTTTCAAATAAATAAAAATAAATCTTTTTAAAAACCCCATTTATTCACCTGTCCCTATGTGATGGGTACATATGTGCTTTCTAACCTGGCATTATTAGGAACAAAGCCCAACAGACTCCCTCAGGCACATAGGCATCGCTGCAGGAGATGTGACCACATCGGCAGGGCCACACTCCCAGAGGGGATCCTGAGCCCTTCACCACCAGCCTGGTTCCCTGCAGGCCTGGGCCTCTCTGCCAGGGGTCTGTGCACTCCCTGGGCCCACCCTTCCCCCACTCCCTCTCCCTCTGGGGGAAGTCAGTGGCCCCGCCCAGGAGGTCAGCCAGGAGAGGAAGCCTTCGGCCACACCCCCTTCCTGCAGGCCGGCAGCCCGAGACCCTGCGGATCTGGAGGGCTGATGAGTGTCTTTGGAACCGGGGACTCTATTTTGGTTTGGTCTGCGGGGCCTTGGGCAGTTGCTCGTGCAAGCCAGCCGCTTCCCCTGCCTTTTTATGTAGCGACCCTGATGATCCCGTGCCAGCTGCCCGTCTCCTGCAGCGGCCCGCTGTCCCCTAGCCCAGCCGCCCAGCAGGCAGCCAGGCCCTGTCCCACACCCACAGAGGTCCCCGGCTGCAGGGCACTCAGTACCAGCTTTTCTGCTCTCTCAGCCCCCCCCCCCCCAGCAGAGGGGCAGGAGCTGCAGCTTCCTAGAGATGAGCACTTACCTCAAAGCCATCCCGCCCCAGTCCTTTCTCCCTCCCTCCCAATCGTTTTAAAGTAAAGATTTATTTATTTGTTTGAAAGAGACACAGAGAGATGGATCTTCCATGCAGAACAGCTGCAAGGCCAGGTTTGGGTCAGGCCTAAGTCAGGAACCTGAAACTCCATGGGGTCTCCCACGTGGGTGCAGGGGTCCGAGCACTTGGGCCATCTTCTACTGTTTTCCCAGGCCATAGCAGAGAGTGGGACTGGAAGAGGAGCAGCTGGGACTAGAACCCTCGTCCATATGGGATGCCAGCACTGCAGACGGAGGATTAACCCACTGCGCCACGGCAACTTTATTCTTGTATTATTAGTGCATACCTCATTCAGACGTCCTTTTATTTCACGGTACATTTAAATAAATTAATTAATTAACCTGAGAGGCAGAGTGAGACACGCCGGTTGGGGGGCGCACTCGATCCGAGGCCATTACCAGGGAAGGGGAAGCGGTGCATGGGCTGCGGGGCGGGACCCCCGGGGACTTGGGGAGGAGCCGCACCTGTCGGACGAAGGTGCGCCCCAGGCGGGGCGCGGACGGCGCAGGCAGCAGCGGCGAACATCAACCGGCCTCCTGCGAGACCTCAGTCCGCCGGCCGGGAGAAGAGCTGTGATCTCAGCCCGGCCGCCCGGCGCAGCAGGGACCCCGGACCCCGGCTGCACCGGCGAGAGGCGGGCTGGGGCTCCGGCAGGGCTGCGGCCCCGGGGCAGCGTCGCCGCTGCTCGCGGCCCTCCCCTCAGGCGCCCCGCGGCCCTGCCGGCCAGTCAGTGCGCACGCGCGGCCGCAGCTGCCCTCGGTGGGTGTGAAGGAGCGCAGTGAGGAGTCAGGGACCTGCGGCGGGACGCAGGTGCACGCCCCGTAGAAGCCGGGAAGGGGCTCGCCGGGGACCCAGAGCCCAGGTTGCAGGAAAAAGAAAAAAAAAATAAAAAAGGACATGTGTGACCCCATTAAAGAATGAAAGCCGTTGCCTGGTCCCCTTCCCCGCCCCCAAACCTCGGTACCCTAAATAAAGTAAAAGGCGACAAATGAGAGAAAAGAATTACACCTGGGCCACAGGTCACTCTTCAAGCATGAGGGGACTGAAGACCAAAAATCCCCTTTGCAAGAGATTTTTTAATTTAAAAAATTTTAGAGATTTATTTATTTGAAAGAAGTTACAGAGAAAGCGAGAGATCTTCCATCTGCTGGTTCACTCCCCAAATGGCCTCCACGGCTGGGAGAACACGGGCGCGTGGACCCAAGGACTTGGGCCATCTTCGGCTGCTTTTACAGGTGCATCAGCAGGGAGCTGCTTAGAAGTGGAGCAGGCTGAGGCTTTACGGGCTACATCACAGCGCCGGCCCCAAGAGAGGGAGTGTGCGCCCCTGTCCCCCGGTTAATTCTCCAAAGCCGGCCCAGGAACCAGGAGCTCAGTCCAGGTCTCCTGCATGGTGGCGGGGCCCAGCAGCTCCAGCCTTCGTGGCCGCTGGCTCCCAGGGTCTGCATCAGCAGAAAACTGGAGCCAGGGTGTGAGATGTAGGTAAAAATAGAGCAAAGACACACATGGAAAAGCTGTGCAGAAGTGGCCCTAACATGAAAAGAGGTCTGGATTCTGTTACAAAGAGGATGGTACACCGTGCTCTGAGAAATGGCTTCTTAGTACTCTGCAGAAAGGCAAAGGAGGCCGGACAGGCTGTGGGGACCCAGGCGTGTTCCTCTCCTGCCCGTGGGGGTGCAACAAGAAGGATCAACTGCAGAGGGGCGTGTGGCAGCCATTTACCTCCCACCCTGCAGTTCCCCAGCTAGGAATCTTCCAGGAAGAAGCGCCTACACCAACCAGCCTGAAGGTATCTATAAGTACATGGTTGCTCACTGTAGCACTGTTTCCAAAGGCAACATTTTGGAAACTATCTCAGTGCCTGGATACAGGCAGCTGGTTTAAAAAAAAAAAAACAAACTGCAGTACATCAGCAAGTATGAAGGAAGATCTCCCTGAACTGGGTGGAGTGAGTTCTAGAATGTGCAGATAAGTGGGGGAGTGAGTTCTAGAATGTGCAGATAAGTGGGGGGAGAGGGCCAAGTACAGGAGTACTGTCTAATGTTTTTATGTAAAAAAGGAGGAATAGTAATCAACAAAAATGGGCCGGGCCGCTGCTCACTAGGCTAATCCTCTGCCTGCGGCGCCGGCACCCCAGGTTCTAGTCTCCGTCAGAGCACAGATTCTGTCCCCGTTGCTCCTCTTCCAGTCCAGCTCTCTGCTGTGGCCCAGGAAGGCAGTGGAGGATGGCCCAAGTGCTTGGGCCCTGCACCCGCATGGGAGACCAGGAAGAAGCACCTGGCTCCTGGCTTTGGATCGGCGCAGCGCGCGGGCCGTAGCGGCCTATTGTGGGGTGAACCAACGGAAGGAAGACCTTTCTCTCTCTCTCTCTCTCTCTCACTGTCTAACTCTGCCTGTCAAAAAAAAAAAAAAAAAAAAAAAAAAAAAGAAAGTAATCAACAAAAATGGAGAAGAGGAAACCTCCAATTGAATACAAACAGAAGTGAAACAAATGAATGAAACCACAGAACTGTAGACTCAAATACCTGTGGACATAGTGCTTTGACTACACACCTTTTGTACATAAACAAGTGAATAAAATGACAAAGAGTTTCCTTTTTTAAAGACTTTTTTAAAATTAGGGGCCAGCGAATCAGCAGATGGAGGACCTCCCCACCCCGACTTTCAAATAAATAAAATAAATCTAAAAGAAAAAAAAAATAATGGGTGTGACTTATAAAAAAAAGTCAAGTTCATGAAAGACCAAGGAGAATAAGAAAGGAAGACAGAAAAAAGGAGGGACAAAGAGACAAGACAACTAAATGGTATGTCTTTCCTCGCACTGAGGAAAATAATGTTGCTAGAAAATATGTTGGGACAGTCAGTATCAGTACTGGGTCAATGTTGAATGTTCTGAACTTGATCAATGCCATGTGGTTGCCTAAGAAAAATGTTCTTGCTCTTAGGAAACGTGCCCTGATGTCCTGACTGGTGACAGATCACCATCTCTGCACCCTCGTCTCTGATGGTTCTGGAAAGAAAAGTCCCTGTTAAATGCACATCGCACCACCGAGCTGCTGCACCACAGTTGGCTTAAAGTGTTCCCTGTTGGAAAACATTTAAAACTTCCCAGTAGCAAACTCGCTCCAACAAGGCTGCTGTTGACATCCTATTGAATACAATGTCTTTGTTCTTTTGTTACCGCAGTTAGGGTAAATGCTCAGGACCAAAACTATGAATCCCAAATCAAAGAGTGGCTGGTGGGCCTAGAAGGTTGTATGGGGCGTGGGAGGGACAGGAGGTGGGGGCCAGCAGCACAGGGGCCTCCCAGGAGCTGGGAAGATCACCCCTCCCCCACCCTGGCACACTGAGCGGAACTGCCATCCGAATTTTTAGGTTATTAACACACTGCCACTGTCCGATGACCCATGGGTCTGGTGCAAGCCACCACGGCCTCAGTTTAGACTTTGGACAACGCGGGATCTGTGGTCAGCTGGCTCACGCCTGCTCAGGAACCCCAGTGTGAAGTGCTGTGTTTGAGGACCATGTACCATGTAATTCTCTGAGGTAGTAGTGACAGCCGGCATCAGTGTGAGCTCTGAAAGAGAAAGTATTTGACCTAAAAAAAGTATTGACTGGGAACAAACGAAATCACTGGTAACGGGGTTTACATTGGTGTTTGGAAAATAATTGAACGTTATCTTTTAGAGACTGGACATTGGCCTGGCCCATTGCTGGTAGTGGTTTCTTGTCTAGGCCCCACAATCAGAGAGGAACATTTGCCAGGGCCTCTAAGACTCGAATGTGGATGTTCAGAGCAGCACCGTGTATCAGAGGAAACAGAAAATAGCCCCACATCCATCAGCAGGAGACGGCGCCACGAAGCGTGGGATGGTCCTACACAGAATGCTACCCAGCAAAGAACGAGAGTCAGGTGCAGCCACGCACAAGTCTGTGTGGTTCTCAGCGACACTGAGCGGGAAGAGCACACAGCTCGAAGTGCACCTGTGGAATCTGATTATTAGAGCAGTGAAAAAGTGCACTGCTTAAGGATGTTAATTTGTATCCAAGATCCATTACATATACATACATATATATGTATAAAAGATTTATTTATTTATTTTGAAAGAGTTACAGAGAGAGAGAGAGAGAGGGAAAAAGACTTTCCATCTGCTGGTTCACTCCCTAGATGGCCGCAATGGCCAGCGCTGGGCCAGGCTGAAGCTAGGAGAGTTCTTCTGGGTCTCCCAGGGATCCAAGCATATTCCCAGGCCATTAGCAGGGAGCTGGATTGGAAGTGGAGCAGCTGGGTAGACCACTCTGTCTCTCCTTCTGTCTCTGTAACTCTGCCTTTCAAATAAATACATAAATAAATAAAAATTTTTAAAATAAAAAGCAGGTTTTGAGGACGTTCATTCAGATCACCGCCTGAATTTCAGCTCCCAGATTTACCGAGCAGTGACAGGAGGTCTCACTGAGATTTTCCTTGAAGGGAGGTTCTTTATTTTTTTAAAAGGAGATTTATTTTATTTTATTTACTTCAAAGGCAGAATTACAGAGAGGGAGAGGCAGAGAGAGAGAGAAAGAGAGAGAGAGGAGATCTTCCATCCATTGGTTCACTCCCTAAATGGCTGTAACAGCTGGAGTTGGGCCAATCTAAAGCCAGGAGCCAGGAGCCAGGAGCTTCATCCGGGTCTCCCATATAGCTGGCAGGGGCTCAGGCACGTGGGTCATTCTCTGTTGCTTTCCCAGGCACATTTGCAGGGAGCTGGATGGGAAATGGAGTGGCTGGAGGCCGGCGCCGTGGCTCACTAGGCTAATCCTCCGCCTAGCGGCGCCAGCACACCGGGTTCTAGTCACGGGTGGGGTGGACGATGCTGTAGAGAGAGAGAGAGAGAGAGAGAGAAAGGTCTTCTTTTAAGGGAAGGAAGTGGAGGAGGGCACTGCGGCCAGGGCGCTGCGGCTGGGGGCCCACCACTGAAAGGAAACCGGGAGTGGCTGGCTTCTTCTGGTCTCCCATGCGCGTGCATCGTCCCAAGGACTTGGGCCATCCTCCACTGCACTCCCGGGCCACAGAAGAGAGCTGGACTGGAGGAGGAGCAACCAGGACAGAATCCGGCGCCCCCACCAGGACTAGAACCCGGTGTGCTGGCGCCGCATTTGGTGGATCAGGCCTATTGAGCCACAAGGCCAACCAATCCATCATCTTAATGCTACACCTTTACATGCCAATCCAGCAAACACATGTTCCTATGTCCTGAGTTTTCTCGGGGACCAATAAAGAAAAGATGCCCTGATAACCATGTGTATACTAAGTTCCACCATGGAGAGGCTGTGAAATTTTCCCAGAAAACCTCACAAGCATGAAACCCCACCCAAACTATACTCCATTTGTAAATTCAATAAGGCACCAAGCCCTACCACATAAAAGGAACCACTGGACAGGGGACAGCTCTCATCATGCCTTCCCTCACATTCTCCTGGGTAGCTCTCTTTCTCTCTATGGAGCTTCACTCATACATAGATATATACTCACTTTCTCCTTTAA